TAAAGGGGAAGAATTATTCAAAATAGGACGAATATAGGCACGTGTTAAATATTCCTTCTTAAGGGTATTTTCCCGCGTTTTAAAAAGTCATTTAAGGCCATACGAAAAAATAGAGTAGCACTGAGAACACTACATTTTTATAGTTTTATATAAATATTAAGAACAAGTGTGACCGATTCAAACATCTGAAAGTTGTCGACGATTATATGAAAGCTGAATGAAGCAAGCAGAAACCCAAGTGTTACTGATAGATAATTATGTCATAAAATTCAATGTCCTTCTTAAAGCTCAATTAGGGCCCGGCATGGCCAGGTGGCTAGGGCACTCGACTCGCAATCTGCGGGTCGCGGGTTCGAATCCCCGTCACACCAAACATGTTCGCCATTTCAGCCGTGGGGTCTGTTATAATGTGACGGTCAATCCCACTCTTGGTTGGTAAAAGAGTAGCCCAAGAGTTGGCGGTGGGTGGTGATGACTAGCTGTTGAATCTTATAAATACTGGTTTTATTAATAACAACCAGAAGGAACAGCATGACATTGAATCTTATAAATACTGGTTTTATTAATAACAACCAGAAGGAACAGCGTGATAGTGAATCTTATAAATACTAGTTTTATTAATAACAACCAGAAGGAACAGCATGACATTGAATCTTATAAATACTGGTTTTATTAATAACAACCAGAAGGAACAGCATGACATTGAATCTTATAAATACTGGTTTTATTAATAACAACCAGAAGGAACAGCATAACATTGAATCTTACAAACACTGGTTTTAGAATTTACAAAAGAAAAAAATTAGGTATCTATTACCGTTTTAAGTTAGTTTTCTGAAAACAATCAACGTATACAAAGACAATGACTTAACCTATAGTAATATTAGAGTGATCCTTACCAACAAATGGTACCAGATCCCTGATTATGGGTGAGGGGGGGGGGAGAAATTTGTGTTTTGAAAGATGACAGTTGACTATTTCAGCCAAATATCAATTCGCGATACAACTGAGGCAGTTTAAAAATTAATTATACTGTTTTCACATTTACATAAAAAAAAACTAACGGAAGACGTTCCGCGTCTGATAGGAGAGACCCGGCAGAAATTAAACACTGATATTTCATTTTATAATTTGTTTGTTTCCTGAATTTCACACAAAACTACTCGAGGACTATCTGCGCTAGACGTTGCTTAGTTTGAAGTCACAGACTAGAGGAAAGGCAGCTAGTCAACACCGCTCACTGCCAACTCTTGGGCTACTCTTGTACCAATCTATAATGAACAACACACTATAATGCCCCACGACTGAAAAGGCGAGCATTTTCAGTGACAATATTCGAACCAGCAGTCAGGCCTTTTATTTTCCCTATATACCACTATGAATATAACAGGGTCATCTCTATATGAACTGCCTACTAAATTACCATTCTAACATCGCGTTACATTTAGTGCGATGGATAATCGAATTTAAATTAACGAATGGGTTATCGTTTGTTTGAGATTAGTAAAACAGTGTAGTACTCCAGTAGGAATAGTAACTCAGACGTATTTTCTCATAATATGAAAAATCCGTACAAAATATTTTGTACGTAATTCATTAAATATTTTTTATAAACATTCGAGATACATCGGGTTGTCTCATTGTAAAAATTGTTATTCTCAAAATGGTGTGGCATGTGTTTCGAGGATACATATAAAGAAATCATTTTATTCGCTTATTTTATAGGAGATTATGAGTTTTTGCCTTTTCTAAATAGTGACATTGTCAAAAAACTTAATTTTTATAGTTTATATATATATATAGTAAGTAAATATGTGGGTGTGTTAGGCTAAAGATTCTTCTACAGTAGGTGTCTGTGACTTGTGGCGATAAATTCAAAAATCAACGAACAGCACTCATTCCACTTGTTTTCAAAATAATATATATATTCGGAACAAGTTAAACATATGTACAACAAATTCTTCACACTATAGATATTATAGGCATATAATAAACTCTCTACATATACTTCTCTTCTTCTTGTCAAAAGTCCACTCAGGCCTATTCAATTACTTTAGAATTTCAGTTGACAAGCTGAACTATCTTCTTTATTAATATCACATTAGTGTTCTGTGTGTGATTCACTTAAAATTGTGGTGTGAGTCACCATAATCGTTTGGTCTTCTTTCTTCCAAATATCCTCTGTTCCATTTGTCAAAGTGCACTTAGGCTAAATCAATTACTTTAGAACCACGCTTTGATGGAATAAATTCTTCTTCTTATCTCCTTTTGTACTGTTAGTCTTACTCTAACATATTAAACGTTAAGCCTATATCAATTGTTAGGCCTATCACTTCTACGGTAGTTAACTTCACACCGAACTTTTCCTTGTCTGTAACTTTACTCTCTTCTACTATTGTCTGTCTGCTGTTTTTGCTTGTCTCATACTATTTATATATTTATCACTTAATCATCTGGCCTTCTAGAAATCTCTATATTCTTGATGTCAATGTATTGCACGCAACATTCAATAGTCTCAACATCAATGAATTATAAAAACAACTTCCTACAATCATCTGCTTTTAACTCTTATTATAACAAAAACTAAACAATCATAAAATATTCACTCACAAAAATAAATTAGTCAATAATATCTAAATTAAACAGTCATTTATATCATGACAGCTAGATATTTACTGGACATCTCTTTAACATGCAGGGAGCATTCCGATTTTTTGATATCACAGTAATGTTTGATCTTTCTTTGTTGGCTGAGTTTGTTACTTACAGCATCAATTTCCTAAACCTACAAAGCATCCTGTAAGTAGCAGTTTTGTTTGAATCTGTCACATGGATTAATCTTCACTATCCAAAAAAGTAGCTACCACATGCTTGTCAGGAGATATTTCGTTCCTAGAGGTCGTGCCTTCTTCAACACACAAATGCTGGGGAAGTGATACTGATTTTTATGCTTATATAGTCAGTAAGCTAGTGTAGCACTCTCTGATTGGTTGGGGAGTAACCTATCACCACAGAGTATTATATCAACATAGCTATTCCATTATCAAGCTAGCAACTGTACAGACTGTTGAATAAGTGGCATGGGTAGTTCATGATTTGTAGTGATTTTATAATTTTCCTACTTATGTCCACTACTGGAAATCTCCATTACTAAACATTTTAACCTCATAATTTACATTTTCAAGTACAGTAAACTACATACTTATGCTACCAAAATATGTGTTTATAGCCCAACTGACTTATGAAATAATGTTTGTTTTTTGTTTGAAAGACCTTTACTAATTCAATCCATGCTACAATTTGCTTCCTTTTAACTATATACAAGCCTAAATTCCTAATGATATTTATCATGATGATGTGAAGATTAAAGCACAATGACAGTGTTCTGTCATGACCACAGTTGTATGTACCATAACATAAGAATAAAACAACTAGATTATAATATGGAAGTAGATTACGAATTATTTCACTATTCAACAAGCTAACAGCATGAAAATATGGAGCTATGAATAAAAAAACATTTATTTCTAACACGTTTTTATACGTCTGGCTCTGAAAGTCAGTATTTAAAAACTGAACTTTCAACACCATGCAATCTAATGACTTAAGCAAAAGATTAACTGTTAGTGATATGTTATAATAATATAACTTGGGTTAGTAATGTAATGAAATACTTATGAACAGCTACTCAAAGAATTATTCACACTAAGTAAGAGAAATGTTTCTTTAAGGTTCACAGTGTGGGTGTATGAACACCGTTAAGTGAAACTGATCTCACATTCTCACACATCAAAAAGCTTTCAACTACACTAAAGAATCCAGTTTCAGGTTTAATGATAGTTTAAAGATTATGTGATTTTTGTTCATTACTAAGCACAAAGCTATACAATGAGCTATCTGTGATGTGCCCACCACAATTATCAAGACACAACTTTTAGCATTATAACCCCTCAGACTTACCAATGATCCATTGTGTGTGTGTGTGGGGTGGGGGGGGGGGGGTACTAATTACTTCGGATTTAATGGATAGTAATACAATAATGAAGTATATTTCAATACCAATAACAACATACAGCACTACTTCTCCTGATACAGTTTCACCGAGGAATTAAGTTACAATGTCACACTGTTCCATTCCTAGACAAACCACATAGTATTTAATGTCAATTTACCTAAAAAAAAGTTGTAACAGCATCAATAAAGATAAAAAATAACCAGTAAAAAGCATGTGTGTGGTATGTGTGTATAATGTATTACAGTTTAAGAGGGGTACAACCATTTTAGACACCCTATATAAATAAAATGACCCCCCCCTCAAAAAAGAAATGACTTAGTAAATTAGAAAAATAAATTACAAATAAGTTTCAAGTTCTAATATATGAAGAGTCAAAAATTCAGGACTAGATGAAAACATTTCCTTTTATAAATAAAACTTTAAATCTACTTTTTCATATTTTTAACATCCTGAAAGTAAAATTAACATCCTATACTCATGACATTTTCTTGTAAATATACTTGTAGTATTTAATTCTGATGTTATCAAAATATAAATGTCATATACAATAATATTTTAAAGAAAAATGTGATACAATTGAAACTTATTAAAAGTGTGTGTGTGATGACTTAGCAGCAACTGAAATGTTAAATTAGCAGTAGTTTTGAGATCGTTTGTGATTATACTTGGAAAGTCAACAATATGCACATATTCAAATAGCACAATTAATTTTAAGGTTTTGTTTAGTTTTAGATGTTCTATTATATAGTTTTGAGTGATATGTGTAACGACTTTTTAAGCATACACAAGCGTGTTTACTGTAATAACAGCTGTGTGAGAACCATTCCAAGACTGCCTTCAGTATCAGATTCATCACAAGTGTATGATATTCCCAAACCTGAAAAACATTTTAGTCAAGATAATACTTTCTTTTGCTTTTGCAGAAACAATGCCTTTGAAAAAACACAGTTCTAAACCTATACAAACAAGCTGTCTAGTCTAATACCTGCATCAGTTCTACAACCACTTTCTCTCTTTGTGAAGCATCAGTAACTTGTTCAACAACATCTTCCATTTTATACACAAGCTTGTTAATAATATCAGTGGCTTGAACCATGTCTCCACCATAAAGTTTCTTCACTTTTGTCATCATAGACAATTCCCCTGCAAGGTTAACCACGGAATCCCCTTTCTGGATCTATGACAATAAAAACGTAAGACCTTAATGTTTTAAGCTAAACTCCTTTTTTTTTTCTAAAACATTTATAATAAATTACTCAGAATGATATTTCTATACGATTATAATTCTAAAAAATATTAATACATAAAAAGCATTTTAAAACTTTACAAAACACTAAAACTAAGGAAAAAAATTATTTTGTGAAAAAAAAATCTAGAACTAAAAATACTAAATAGTTATAATAATATATGTAAAAAATTACAACTGGATATATCAGTAGATTTTTGTATGTTTTTCTTCTTATCTGCAGTGATCTGATTATTGCTATTAATAGTTGCATATAAAGAATAAAATCTGTAGAACATAATACTGGAACGTTCACAACAATGACTTTTTAGTTGGTGCAGTACTGTTTTTTTAACATCCTCATTTCACATTTTGGCATAAAATATCATGAATGTAAGTTATTCAGATCTGTTAAGATTGGGAAAACACTGATAATAGGAATTATTTAATAGCAATAAACTCTTTCAAAGATTGAGTGGGATAGTTTTTATATAATGGATGAATTTTAGCCTGTTTGGGTTACAACCAGGAGTTTCATTGGTAGGAAGTTTTTTAACTGGCACTTGTTATAGGCCATTTGATCAGACAGATGAGGTCAATGATAAATTGTATAATAAGGTCAGTGTTTCTACTAATACAAACAATAATGTCAGCAACAATTATTGGAGACTAACTTTAGACACATTTATTGGGATTAGATGGAATCAATTCTTGAGGGTGAGAAATTTCTTGAAGTGATTCAGGACAGTATCTCATACCAAATTATCAAAGAGCCCACAGGAGGGGAGAAAGATGCCATTTAAAGTTATTGTAACTTCTAATGAAGATATGGTTGCAAGAGTTAAAGTAGACGAACATTTCGTAAGAGTTATCACTGCATAATTGGGTGTGATGTTGTGCTACATATCAAGATAAGAAAAAATTCTAATTATTAACTTTCATGAAACCAATTTTGAGACCACAAGACAATATTTACCATTAGTGAATTGGGATAATTTGGGAAATTGTTAAAAATAAACTGGTTTTAGTTTCAAGATAGGCATAAAAAGGAAAAGGATAACATGGAAGATCAAACCTAACTGGCTTAATAATGACACAATGGAGAAAATCAGTGATAAATGCCATAAGTATAAGAAATTTAATTTGACAGGTTGGTAGATTTACAGAACTATAGGAAAGCTATGGATTTGATTTAAAAAAAAAGGAAATCCAATAGATCTTATGAGAAACATTAAAATAGGGATTTGGCTCTTAAAGGATTCTGATGGCAAGGTTTTTGATGAAGTCTATGAGAAGGCTGATGTTTAAAACGTTCTCATTTGTTTTAACAAGAGAATATATTAATAATATTCCTGATCATGAGTATTCATATAGTGGGAAATAATGATCATGTAGATTTTGATCCCTTGGTGGTAATTAGATAGAATGGATATTGAAAGCAGACAAAGAACCAGGATCTGACAATATTTCCTGCAGGGTTTTAAAGCAAGTCAGAGATTAGATATGAAGTAGCCTCTCTTTCATTTGAGGTAGGTCAATAGAAGTGGGCAGATGCCCGAAGATAGGAAAGTTACTAATGTTACTTCTATTTTAAAAGTAGAAGATAAATGTTGCCACTGAATTCATAGGCTAATTAGTCTTGTTTCTACATCGGGAAAAATTCTACATTCTGATAAAAGAAGCTTTACAAAATAATTTAGTAAAATATCATAAATGAAAGCCAACACTGATTCACCAAAGGAAATTTTTGACTTGCTAATCTGGTGTCTTTTTTTCATGGATTTTACTTGTATGGATTGTGGACAGGATGTGCAATTGGTGTACATAGCTTTTCAAGAACCTTTTAATAAAGCTAAAAACATCACATTGACAATGGTTGGGGAGTGACTAGTTGACCAGCAATTGGACTGTAAGGTTATTTTATGGGACAAAGCAAAAGGTTGTCATTAATGAAGTCCAGTCAAATTGGACCTTTGGTACAAGTGGAATGCCTCAGGGGTCAGTGCTGGGCCTTTGCTTTATGTTACTTACTTTAACAATATATATATATATATGGGGGCATAATTAATAAATTGGTAAATTTTGCTGATGATATTAAACACTTAGGTATTTCTAGTTGCATTGAGGATGTCAAGGTATTACAGATAGACTTGAATCAATTGGTAAGTTAGACAAATATCTGGAATATAACCCATTAAACAGACAGACTTAAGAAAAGAAAGCATGGTAGATAAGTCACTCAAACCGGTGAAACAGTGTTGCTCTATTTTCTAAACGTGTAGTCATTGTTAGCAGTAGTTGAAGCCAGCAATTTACAAGGTAAATTTAAAGTTTTACTTGTTTTTTAAAGGTGGGTGTATAAGAACAGCCTTTAAGAACTAAATAGTCCATTTAAAGTCTATATATTACATTAAATGTGTAGTAAAATAGTGTAATTTTTACAAAAGTGACCTTGGAGTCTATTAAATGCAGTTCTTAATATTTTCATTTCATATATTGGCAGAAAAGAAATATTTGGAATGCATTCATAAATATTTTAACCATTTCCTTGCTTAATGCCATAGACAAACTGTGTTGTGGTCTTTGTGGAAGGGGTGATGGTGTAGCTATTGTTTGTAGAAAAAAAAATGTGTGCATACATATGTATGTATGTATTATAAAAATACTTTGAACACTGTGCTACTAAGTTTATGGTTATAACTCAACACTGGCAGATAGCTTCAGATTATGAAATGAAAGGTCAGGATAAAAGTACAATAATTCATTCAGAAAGAACTACACCTGTGTTGGTACGTTTTCTTACCCTTTCTTCCAGATTGCTTATCCATACAGAGTTACAATTACTCAAATCAGGAGAGCTAGTTTGCCAAGACTTTGTTTCTAAGCTACACTCCCATCTTGCTAAACCTGAAGAAAATTTCAACACAATAAAATTATTGAAATATTGTTTGTTTCATTTTCGATAATGCAGTCAGCTTATTGTTGAATAACGTACAAAACATTTATTTTTCTTCAATTTGTATGTACTCTTCTTGAAAAGTTTTTTGTATTATAATAAATTATAATAAACTTTGATCACTTCAATATCTCCTCCACTACTGGAGGTATTTTTCCATTAACAAAATACACACCCATTTTTTAAATTACATAAAGTTCTTAAAACATTAATAGGAGAAAAACTATCTAATTTGTATTGGTCTTAGCAGACTTGTATGAAAAATTATATCAAGTTTAAAGCAGCCTCTAGAAAAAATATTTTCAGCATAATTTAGTATCTCTTTAAAACCTTCAGTTTCAAAATGTGGTTTAAGCATTACCTTTATTTGAACCTTAAAAAATTATAATAATTGCTTTGATATTTTAACTGAAGAAGTATTGGCAACAAACATTACTATTCACAGTACCACAGTAAACGAGAAATTTTCAATGACAAGATAACATGCTCCCTGACCGCCCTAGCACCCGATACTTTGCACACTATTCTGAGTTGCCTGACCAATCCAAAATTGCTTCGTCCACCCCGAGTATGGTAAACAAAATGAAAAATCATGATCACACTAACTTAATTACAAAAATTCTAATACGATTCTCAGTTATGTAAATGTAAGTGCCAGACGAATTAAAACAGTGAAAGTACATAAATACTACATCAATTTGATTAGTTTTGCATTAATTCCAATTAAACTTCAAGGTTTTACATACCAACTGCTCCTCCAGGACATGGTTGAACTGTAGTTTCTCCAGCTTCAGTCCAATTCCAGAACAGCCCACGAGAAATAACCGGTGAACAATGATAAGCAAGTAGTTCTTGTGGAATCTTTGCTTCAGGTGTAAGCTGTGGAGATAGCGATGTGTTTGGGCCTTTGAAAATCAAACAAAATACATTACTGAAAATAAAATAAATGAGACATTCAAATGTAATAGATATATTACAGAATAATTCCAAAAGATGGCACCACTAGCATGAGTGATCTTATGTTGTTGTTGTTTAAAAAAAAAGGTACACTTTATTTGCGAAATATAGTAAAATGTGTCGTGGAAACTGCCTAGTGAAAATACATAAAATAAATTCACGAAACAATAAGTCATAAAAGGTACGATCGAGCCGACTAATTCTTGAAGACGTTTAATTCATATGACATAAGAAGCATGGATGTTTGTGTCGGTTTTTATTACATGTGACTTTTCACATTGGACCTTTTTACCGCAGACATTCTCTCCGTTTACCGATTACGTAATTTAGCATTGTAACACAGGCTCATCTAAAGGCATGCACACAAAAGGAGTAATTTCCCTTCTAATTACGTAGTCTGTTTTCTTCTGTCTTTCTAAGCGCAATGCTAAGGCTGTAGAGAGATAATTTTATAAGAAACCGAGGAAGTAGCTTGTCACCATTTCCCACAGAGTCATGTCCTTCCCTCCCTCCTTTAATAATGTCTGCTGTGAGCCTCAGCGTTCCTACAAATCATGCAGCTGCGATTACGACTCTATCCTACAGTCACGTGTATGCGGCTATTACGATATATTACTCATCAGCACCCAACTTAAAATAGTATGGTAGTTAGAATTAATAAAACATTTCTCATGGATAGTTATAGTAATGACTGTAGACTCTCATAATGTCACTTCTCTGTTAAAAAAAAAGTCGTCTCACCCTTTGTTGTTTCCTGAACAATGATACTGGAATTCAACACCATTGGATTTCCCCATACGTAGGAAGCCAGAGTCGTGGTGGATGTTGCACTGGCCGTAAAGGTATTAACAGCTGAAGAAATGGTTGACACACTGGTACTGGCAGTTGTATTCGAAGTGTTATTATGTACCACGACATGCAACGTATGCGTTACGGTTATGGGTGGAAGTAACGGACGCGTGGTTGTGGTTTCTGAAGAAAAAAAAAACATATTATGCACACAGAGAATTTTATGCATAATTAAGTATTGAAAAACAATAGCTCCAAATGTACTTAGTAAATGGTTTGTTTGTTATGGATTTCGCGCAAAGCTACACAAGAGCTATCTGCATTAGCCGTCCCTAATTTAGCAGTGTAAGACTAGATGGAAGGTATCATGCTGTTCCTTCTGGTTGTTATTAATAAAACCAGTATTTATAAGATTTAATATCATGCTGTTCCTTCTGGTTGTTATTAATTAATAAAGTTTCAATTAAGATATCATCTTTGAACATTTAAACATTTCCGCATATAACTTGGTTGGTTCGTTTGTTGTTGTTTTTTAAGGCGATTACGAATCCTACATGTAGTTACGCACGTGAGGTAATTACATCTGTCTCCTTGGATAATATATGTACACTCCATTTCACTGTCATCGTTTTCATTGAACATGAGGACGAGTAAGATGGAACAGATCTTAGATATGGTTTATTTGAAAAGCAAGACTATAAACTTGGAACTCAGTATCTTTTCATTTCTGTGCTTTGTAGAAATAACAGTGCTTTATTCATTCAGCCACAAGAACCGAGAGTGGGGGATTGGGGGCTTAATGTTTTCTCATCAGAAAAAGATCAGGAGACGACCCTTCCCCCCCTTTTCTTTACTCAAAAACGATATGATCCCGAAAGTTGTTTTAACGCCTTTTCACGATTTTTTTTTTCGCTTGGCTAAGATGAAATAAGAAATTCCAGTTTTCGGATGTAGTACAGTATTTTTTAAGTATGAAGTGGATTATCAAGAAACGAGAAATATTCTAAGAAACCGCACTATTCTAAGAAATACGTTCAAGTTTTGTGGTAATTTAGGAAGAAGGAAAGACTGATATATTTTAATGTTGGCTCTTGATGGGCGATCGATAAACTGTCGAAATGAGTGAATGGTTGAAACGTGGAATAGATAAAGCACAGATGTGTAAATAAAACACTACATATTGAGAGGAAAAGGAATTGTAATATTTAACCTTAAAGGAAACGTATGTGTTCGTGGGAGAAACAGCCAGTTCAAAGACACCCTAATTTTGAGCTTCTGACAAGAGGGAAAGTAACCAGCAGCCAGCACCCGCCGCTGTAAGGGCTTTATCCAATGTTTTGAACCGAGTAATGGGATTGACTGTCACTTTTAACGTACTACCCAAAGGTGAAAGTGTGAAGCGTGTTTTGTGGAAACATCTCTCGAATCCTTAGATCCACAGTCCGTCACGTTAACCACTGGCCACACCCGACATGTATATGATATTATATCAATGTTATGCACGTGACTTAATTCTTCAATTGTCGACTTGTGTTTGTATTGCGGTGGGCTCATATATTGCATCGATTGAGTGGTTTTATGTTTTTTTTTTACTTGTTACATACATACATACATTATATACATACATGTATATGATATTATATCAATGTTATGCACGTGATATAATTCTTCAATTGTCGACTTGTGTTTGTATTGCGGTGGGCTCATATATTGCATCGATTGAGTGGTTTTATGTTTTTTTTTACTTGTTACAACGCTCGGTGTAAAGACCTGCGAGTCTTTATACATATGCTAATAATACATAGATTGTATTATTTATGATTACAAAACTAGAAACTGTTTATTGAATCTTTGATTCTAATTATTATTAAAGCCTGTACCAAACTGAAACTTGGAATTGTAATATAAAACTTAAAATTCTCACGTTAGACACACAACTCATGTCAAAACCAGCTTAAGGTTGCGCTTTTCTCATATCGCTTCTAAGCTTGATTAAGCTGATAAAACATTACGATCCACCTGACTGGGCTGTTAAACATGATACAGCTCTGGACTGTACGATGCACCACGTAATATTAATAACTTCTTGATGTGATGTGAGCTTCATATTATACACTATAAACCATGAACAGCTGGACAAGCGATTTGAAGGTTAGATCGGTACTTGTAAAGTATCAGTAGTACATGATTTTTTAACACTTTCTGTGTTTTTTTAATAATATGGATGTTTACTGATATTACAATAGTGGATGGGTCTTCAATACACGGAAAAGACGTTAAACCCTAAGATGGATTTAGTACGATATAATTTTGCTCATAAATCCACTTTTTATACTTTTCATTATATAGGAAAGAACTCATGTTGGGTTTGTATTTATTTGACGTAACATTAAACACATTACCTTGCCTTGATTAAGAACTATTAAGAGTTCATTGGACAACATTTTCTGTCAGTGTCCAAACCGTTATAATGAGAACTGACTCTAGCTGGAACTGCAGTTCCTAGTTAGTCGTGGTAGAGGTTTTATTTTCAAATGTGAACTAATGTATGCTGTCAACGTGTTAAAAATATTAACTTGTTATAGGACTGTTTATATAATAAAAAGGTAAGTTAAACACACATAAACTTAATACAGAACTCCGGTTTAACTGATTTTATCTGGTTTACAACTATATCATTTAATGAAAGGACAGAAAAAAAGCTCTTGTCAACGAATATATTTTTTGCCTCGTTATGAATAAGATTCTGGGTAATAGAATATCACTGTTGGTTTGCATGCTTGGGCTTCACTTTAACTACACAAATACGGACAGGGTTTATATGGGCCTTTTTAAGTCCGTTTTCTAAATTATTTGCGAATCGCTTGTAGGAATATGGTTTTGTTTTTTACAGGGTCCCTAGTAACACGTGAGCCACACAAGAAATGAAACAAGAACAATTAATCCCACTAGTTAATGTTATAGTTTAAGTGGAAAATCAACAATTTCGCTCAAAGGTTTTAGTCAGTTCTTAACAATCAGTGTTGTAAGAGACTAAAAAATACATGAAACTCCCAATATGATGCAATATGAATCCCACCTAAAGCGAACGGTATATAAACAAGTCGGTGAGTAGAGAATTAAGCTAAGTGCATGACCTCGCTAAGTAGAGGGTTAAGCTAAGTGCATGACCACGAAGCCAACAAGTCGGTAAGTGGAGGTTAAGCTAAGTGCATGACCACGGAGTTAACAAGTCGGTAAGTGGAGGTTAAGCTAAGTGCATGACCACGGAGTTAACAAGTCGGTAAGTGGAGGGTTAAGCTAAGTGTATGACCACGAAGCCAACAAGCTGTTAAGTGAAGGATTAAGCTAAGTGCATGACCACGGAGCTAACAAGTTGTTAAGTGAAGGATTAAGCTAAGTGCATGACCACGGAGCTAACAAGTTGTTAAGTGAAGGATTAAGCTAAGTGCATGACCACGGAGCTAACAAGTTGTTAAGTGAAGGATTAAGCTAAGTGCATGACCACGGAGCTAACAAGTTGTTAAGTGAAGGATTAAGCTATGTGCATGACCACGGAGCTAACAAGTTGTTAAGTGAAGGATTAAGCTAAGTACATGACCACGGAGCTAACAAGTCGGTAAGTGGAGGTTAAGCTAAGTGTATGACCACGAAGCCAACAAGTTGTTAAGTGAAGGATTAAGCTAAGTGCATGACCACGGAGCTAACAAGTTGTTAAGTGGAGGATTAAGCTAAGTGCATGACCACGGAGCTAACAAGTTGTTAAGTGGAGGATTAAGCTAAGTGCATGACCACGGAGCTAACAAG